CATGTATATACACAAAAGCTGAATATCATCTATCATGTATTCAAATGTAAATGCAGAATAACGTACCATATTTGTATTACTTCAAAGCTCCCAAGAGAATTAAATTTCGGCATTAAATAACCCATAAGTAGTTGATATGCCATTAAACAAACAAATCAATCGATTAAAATATTTTTGCTGACAATCATACACTTCGTCTTACAATTAATAGTTAGTCCTTTCTTATCGCTTTCCTTCATTATCTTCTGTAGGCGTGTCTATAGTTTACTTTCTGTGTCTGCTATCAGCACTCTCATCTTAATATCTAATATTGTTAAGATTGTGGCCGTCAATAGTGAATCGTAGTAGGTCATATAATTCTCTCAGTATTACCTGACTGTAAAGATTGAATAAGTCTGGCGAGAAGACACATCCTTGTCTTACACCCCATTCTATTTGTGTGCATTTACTGAATTCATTTTCTCTTTTGGCCTTGTTCGGGCCAGAAATAAAGACACAAAGAGAGGAATTGAGTTAAATATATTAACAGAAACAATAATACAAACATATAGAAACGAGAGTGTTACAGCAAAAATGTTCTGTCCGACTGTCAGAGCTTACTGCTAGAAACTTTCCTCTCTCAAAAGGCAGTACCTGCTCCTATTTTTAGCTGGGAAAGTCCATGCGTGCGTGGGTAAATTACCATAGCATTTTCTATAAGAAATTTAAGCAAAATTGACACAATATACAGAAAAAAAGGTGTCTTCAGACTTCGGAAGAATATGGTTTAAAATAAGAAAGGAAGGAAGGAAGGAAGGAAACTGATTTTAATTCTCTAAGAATAAGATTGTATTAAAAAAATTAGTTTAGCTAATCTTTTTTTTTCTTGGCAAGGAAGGCAAATAATTTTAGTCAATGATGCATTAACTATAGAAAATTCACTGAAATTTCAACTATTGAATCTCAATAGATTTATAAATACGGGTTTTTCAATGTCCGGTTTCAATGAATTTATCGTAAGATGAATTTTTAAGAACTGAAAAAAGTAATTGGAACACAAATATCACTTCTGCTATAACGTGGATAAGATTAACTTTCATAACATAATATTTTAGAATTCCTCTTTTTAACTATATATATATATATATATATATATATATATATATATATGAAAATTGATTTCCCTTTGAATCGGATTTATAGCCGCAATTAATTCTGACGAATTATGTAAAAATACTGAACATAAACATAAACTATATAGTAAAGTGAAATGATTCCAAACAGGGTAACAGTTTAACGCATACTCCCCACTCTGTGTAAGTTTAAACTGACAGCTATGGGAAGGGAAAGTTTATTTGTTTTTTTTAACGCCATCTCAACTCCTTATGGGTTATTTAATACCAAAATTTAATTTTCTTTGGAGCTTGAATATTTTTTTCTCTTTATAAAAATTAATTGCTGGTATTTTTTTTTCTTTTACAAAAATCTGTTGCTGGAAATTTATTTTTTAACGTGAAGATATGAACCAATTCAGAAAGGTCAGGAGGGATATATAAATCCTCATTTGAGCACGCAGATCCTCCGATACAGAAATGAAAGAAGCGAGGTTAGATCCTTGAATAAGCCGTAAACGCCAGTGGATCGCAAAGATTCACAGATACGAGGCATCTGGTCTTTGCAGATCGCTCCGATATTTCGGTCATAAGCAGAGGGAAGAAATTCATGGTATAAATACCAGGTGGTAACAATTTGAACCTGGACAGATCGCTCCGATATTCCGATCCTAGGCAAAGGTAACATACACTGATCCACGTCATAATTGCCATGGAATCTACATTGTCATACTCGACGCTCCGATATTCTGATCATAGGAAGAGGGAAATGATATTCTGATTCATGACATAATAGCAGGGAGGATACATTTAGAAGCTAGCCAGGTCGTGCCGATATTCTGATCATAGGAAGAGGGAAAAGATATTCTGATTCATGACATAATTGCAAAGAGGATACATTTAGAAGCTAGCCAGGTCGTGCCGATATTCTGATCATAGGAAGAGGGAAAAGATATTCTGATTCATGACATAATAGCAAAGAGGATACATTTAGAAGCTAGCCAGGTCGTGCCGATATTCTGATCATAGGCAGAGGGAAATGATATTCTGATTCATGACATAATAGCAAAGAGGATATATTTATAAGCTAACCAGGTCGTGCCGATATTCTGATCATAGGCAGAGGGAAATGATATTCTGATTCATGACATAATAGCAAAGAGGATACATTTAAAAGCTAACCAGGTCGTGTCGATATTCTGATCATAGGCAGAGGGAAATGATATTCTGATTCATGACATAATAGCAAAGAGGATATATTTATAAGCTAACCAGGTCGTGCCGATATTCTGATCATAGGCAGAGGGAAATGATATTCTGATTCATGACATAATAGCAAAGAGGATACATTTAAAAAGCTAACCAGGTCGTGCCGATATTCTGATCATAGGCAGAGGGAAATGATATTCTGATTCATGACATAATAGCAAAGAGGATATATTTATAAGCTAACCAGGTCGTGCCGATATTCTGATCATAGGCAGAGGGAAATGATATTCTGATTCATGACATAATAGCAAAGAGGATACATTTAAAAGCTAACCAGGTCGTGCCGATATTCTGATCATAGGCAGAGGGAAATGATATTCTGATTCATGACATAATAGCAAAGAGGATATATTTATAAGCTAACCAGGTCGTGCCGATATTCTGATCATAGGCAGAGGGAAATGATATTCTGATTCATGACATAATAGCAAAGAGGATACATTTAGAAGCCAACCAGGTCATGTCGATATTCTGATCATAGGCAGAGGGAAATGATATTCTGATTCATGACATAATAGCAAAGAGGATATATTTATAAGCTAACCAGGTCGTGCCGATATTCTGATCATAGGCAGAGGGAAATGATATTCTGATTCATGACATAATAGCAAAGAGGATACATTTAGAAGCTAACCAGGTCATGTCGATATTCTGATCATAGGCAGAGGGAAATGATATTCTGATTCATGACATAATAGCAAAGAGGATATATTTATAAGCTAACCAGGTCGTGCCGATATTCTGATCATAGGCAGAGGGAAATGATATTCTGATTCATGACATAATAGCAAAGAGGATATATTTATAAGCTAACCAGGTCGTGCCGATATTCTGATCATAGGCAGAGGGAAATGATATTCTGATTCATGACATAATAGCAAAGAGGATACATTTAAAAGCTAACCAGGTCGTGTCGATATTCTGATCATAGGCAGAGGGAAATGATATTCTGATTCATGACATAATAGCAAAGAGGATATATTTATAAGCTAACCAGGTCGTGCCGATATTCTGATCATAGGCAGAGGGAAATGATATTCTGATTCATGACATAATAGCAAAGAGGATACATTTAAAAGCTAACCAGGTCGTGTCGATATTCTGATCATAGGCAGAGGAAAATGATATTCTGATTCATGACATAATAGCAAAGAGGATACGTTTAGAAGCTAGCCAGGTCGTGCCGACATTATGATCATAGGCAGAGGGAAATGATATTCTGATTCATGACATAATATCAAAGAGGATACGTTTAGAAGCTAGACAGGTCGTGCCGATATACTGATCATAGGCAGAGGGAAATGATATTCTGATTCATGACATAATAGCAGGGAGTATACATTTAGAAGCTAGCCAGGTCGTACCGATATTCTGATGATAGGCAGAGGGAAATGATATTCTGATCGATGACATAATAGCAGGGAGGATACATTTAGAAGCTAGACAGGTCGTGCCGATATTCTGGTCATAGGAAGAGGGAAAAGATATTCTGATTCATGACATAATAGCAGGGAGGATACGTTTAGAAGCTAGACAGGTCGTGCCGATATTCTGATCATAGGCATAGGCAAAAGATATTCTGATTCATGACATAATAGCAGGGAGGATACGTTTAGAAGCTAGACAGGTCGTGCCGATATTCTGGTCATAGGAAGAGGGAAATGATATTCTGATTCATGACATAATAACAAGGAGGATACATTTAGAAGCTAGCCAGGTCGTGCCGATATTCTGATCATAGGCAGAGGGAAAAGATATTCTGATTCATGACATAATAGCAGGGAGGATACGTTTAGAAGCTAGACAGGTCGTGCCGATATTCTGATCATAGGCATAGGCAAAAGATATTCTGATTCATGACATAATAGCAGGGAGGATACGTTTAGAAGCTAGACAGGTTGTGCCGATATTCTGATCATAGGCAGAGGGAAAAGATATTCTGATTCATGACATAATAGCAGGTGGGATACATTTTGTACCTCAACAAGTCGCTCCGATATTCTGATCCTAAACAGGGTGAACTATTACTCTGATTCTGCGTGTAATCGTCGAGAGTCTATATCCTTAGTAAGTCGCTCCGATACAGAAGCACTCGTCACTTCATCAATCTACCCTGATACTGGTCTGATCGCATAGATACTCTGATCATTGTCAGAGCGCACTGAATGCTTTTATTCGTGGTAGAATTGTCGGGAGGATATAGTTTGATGCTAGGTAGATCTCTGAAATAGTCTATCCTAGGTAAATGCCGAGATCTCATACATCATTTTTACGGGTACTATGGTAATATGTATAAATTCTGCTAATAATTGACACGGGCATATTTCAATTTGTTCTTCACTTAGTATTCTGTAAATATGCCATTGTATTAAATCGTTATAGTCCAATGAATTTCTGTCTGAAATAAATGTGTCATAGCATATACATATCGATGCTAATCTGTCAACTCTTGCATATCGGAGACATCACGTTTATAAATATCTTATTGTTCGTTGCGTGTTTTTATTTCTTTGATCGCCTATGTTCCTGATTTCCGAGAATTTGGCTTCGTATGATTCGTTTAAAAGTCAATGATACACTCAACATTTCGCTATGTGCTTACTTCCTATACACAATGGAATAGAATGAATAAATATTTTCATGCACCCTTCTTTCTCTCTCTTTGTATATGGTTGTGTGCTTCACCTAAACCATAAAACCCATCTATCTATCTATCTATCTAATTCTGTTCATATCTATTTATCTCTGTTCATTTCTCTCCAATTATCTAAATCTGTTCATATCTATCTATCTACTATCTCAGTCTGTTCATATCTATCCAACTATCTAATTTTGTTCATATCTATCTATCTATCCTTCACTCTGTTCATATCTATCTATCTATCTATCTATCCTTCACTCTGTTCATATCTATCTATCTATCTATCTATCTATCTATCTATCTATCCTTCACTCTGTTCATATCTATCTATCTATCTATCTATCTATCTATCTATCCTTCACTCTGTTTATATCTATCTATCTATCCTTCACTCTCTTCATATCTATCTATCTATCTATCTATCTATCTATCTATCTATCTATCTTTCACTCTCTTCATATCTATCTATCTATCTATCTATCTTTCACTCCCTTCATATCTATCTATCTATCTATCTTTCACTCTCTTCATATCTATCTATCTATCTTTCACTCTCTTCATATCTATCTATCTATCTATCTATCTTTCACTCTCTTCATATCTATCTATCTATCTATCTATCTATCACTCTCTTCATATCTATCTATCTATCTATCTTTCACTCTGTTCATATCTATCTATCTATCTATCTATCTATCTATCTATCACTCTCTTCATATCTATCTATCTATCTATCTATCTATCACTCTCTTCATATCTATCTATCTATCTATCTATCTTTCACTCTCTTCATATCTATCTATCTATCTATCTTTCACTCTCTTCATATCTATCTATCTATCTATCTATCTATCTATCTATCTCACTCCGGTTATATCTGTCTACTTCACTGTGTTCACATCTATCTCATTCTGTTCATATCTATCTTAGTCTGTTAATATCTATCTATCTATCTATCTATCTATCTATCTATCTATCACAGTCTGTTCAATATCTATCTCAGTCTGTTAATATCTATCTATCTATCTATCTATCACAGTCTGTTCAATATCTATCTCAGTCTGTTAATATCTATCTATCTATCTATCTATCTATGTGAATCTCTTCGTTATCTATCTATCTATCTATCTATCTATCTATCTACTGCGGTCTGTTCTTATCGATCTTATTCTGTTTCTTTCTCTCTATTTCTTTCTTTTTTTTTTTTCTACCTGTATGCGTATAATATATTTAATTTGGACAAAAAAGCATGAAATTTGCGTAATTTATTACTAACTAGCTTAACAGACGTAATCCGCGCGGAATTTTAAGCTAGCTCCCGTGGAGAGCTAATTAGGCGTCTGGCCCAGTTCAGAAAACATCAATGATAATTTTGAATAAATAACTTGAATTCCTCAATTCATCCTATGGAACTTCAAAACCTCACTTTAACATTGATTCGGGCTATTCCGACCGAAAGAGTCATTTGGACCAAAATTTCGACTTGGGTCGAAATTCATATTCAGGCCGAAAATTGAGACCTTCACAAACTCTGCATAACTTCAAAAGCTCACGTCACGAAACTTCTCACTTTAACTCTTATTCCTTGGCATTTTGAAGAAATAAAAATGATTTCCTTTATTCAGAAAGTTTTGGACCTGTTTTAAATTGAATTTAAAACCAAAAAATTTAAATTCACAAAGTTGTTCTACTTTAAACTCAATATAAATTGATAAAATGATTTTAAATCACTAATTTTTTTCAATTATTTTAAAATTTGAATATTTAACTGTTCCTTCCTCATCCGGACACAAATCTCAATGCTGAGATGTTCAAGCACTAGATTTTCAATCTCGGGAACATCCTGATTCCAAAATGGTATAATATAGAGCAATAATGTACAATGTAGAGCAAGTGTGGCCACAATTAGAGGGGTTTCAGATACACGGACAGACAGACATAATTTACCGTTTCTTTATTTAGATATAAATGCTGATATCCAACTTTCCAAGTTTTCGAATGAGAAAACTTGGAAAGTATTACAAAAAATTAAGCAGAGAGAACTTTTCGGTTGCATTTAAGAAAAGTTGTTTGTATACACACACAAACACCCACAACGGACATATCTACAGGGTTTCGTGTAATAACAATAATGACAATAAACGTAGCGTTTATTGACTTGCGAAAAGATTAATGGTTAAAATTAAGAAATATTAATTTTTATCGACTAAAAAAGAAGATTAATGTTTTAAATTGAATATTAAATGAAATTAAATACATGTTTAAAATATTCAAACTGACGACGAACTCTATAAGTGAGTATATTTTGGGGGACTCTCTCTCTCTCTCTTTCTCTCTCTCTCTCTCATATATATATATATATATAAATTAAATAATTAAGAAAGAGACAACCTTAGGTTCCATTATCAACATTATCAAAGGGCATTATATATATATATATATATATATATATATATATATATATATAACACCATTTGATAATGAGCAGTAACTAGATATATAATAAAGCTTTCTACGTCATGGATATTTATTTGACCCCTGTCTCTCTCTCTCACTCTCTCTCTCTATATATATATATATATTTCGCCATTTTATATCATTAACTTTACTAATTTACTTTTTGTATGTATGATTCATTGTAATATAAATTGAAAATGGACCACATATTTGATTTAAAAGGACTAATCCGACGTTACTCTACTTATTGAACTATTTAGTTCATACCACATTGATTCCTACAACAACAACAAAACAATTCTCAAATTGACATATTAGTAAAAAAAACGCACTCACTTAAATTTTCAAAAAATTCAACGTTAGCGTTGCGATTGCATGCGCCAAAAGTTTGTATCCGTTAATAGTAACACAGTTCAAAAATTAAAAAAAAAAGGATATTTCGATTCACATTATATATTTTTTCGTCTCGGATGCTACCTGAATTTTGCCAAAAACCAAATAATTTCCATGCCTGATGAAGACTGGCCGTACAGTCGAAAGTACTTGCATATTTAAGAAAGACCTTATACAGCTTATAATTTTTTTAAAAACAAGGATCATAACATTCATCGAGTGATTAGTAGGTTAATACATCTTTAAATTTAGTTAGCGAAGGGATTTCGCTATTTTATATCATTAATTTTACTAATTTTCTTTTTGTATGAATGATTCATTGTAATATAAATTGAACTACACTACATATTTGATCTCTACATATATATATATATATATATATATATATATATATATATATATATAATTGACTCGCCCGTCGTATTTGACGTATGAAGGTATAGTAATTCAATTCATTGAGCCCAACAGTAAAACTATCCACACATATGATTTGATTATATAGTGGTGAAGAATTGTGAAGAGCCAACCAATCTTTTTGTGAGAACCAAATACAGAGAACTGGCGCATGTATTATGTCAAACGACCTTTTGAAATGAGAGTTATCCTTCTAGACCGGTTGTCACGCAAGGCTATAGTTCCAAGTCTGTTTTGCTATTGACCCATAGCTGGGGGCAAGGGAAGAGCTGGATTCATACCTTACCCAAATCTACTTGCACGTAATTGAGTTTATATGTGTGTGTGTGTGTGTGTGCGCGTGTAAACTGACCAAAAGCAAAATCCCTAAACAAAATTGGAATTTATTCATTATCGCATTTCCCTTAATTCCCCAATGACCTATATACAGATCCCATAAAAGGAGTAGCGGCACTTGGTCTGAAAATTACTTATAGTGTGAAATTGACAGTCACCATGCAGAGTTAATTTCTATGTCCACTCTATCTCTCTCTTTCTATATATATATAAGGGGGTGAAAGAAAATAAGAAGACTTTAGAAGGAATCGGAAACCCCATCCTAAACAGGAAACAACGGATAAACATTCTACTCCTGTTCAAAAGATCGGGGAGGTGTGTGAACCGGGCGATAGGTGAACCTATCTACTCCTATTGAGGGAAAAAATAATTAGTAAATAAAATTTCAGAGTACATGCGGACATGTTCGAAGTATAGCATTGAAGTAAACTTTAGAAGGAACCAGAAACCCCATCCTAAACAGGAAACGAAAGACCGGGGAGGAGTGTGAACCGGACGATTGGTGAACCTATCCACTCCTATTGAGGTTAAAAAAAATAATCAATAAATAGTAAATAAAATTTCTGAGTTTTATCTGGAGAAGTTAGAAGTATAGAGTTGAAGTAGACTTTAGAAGGAACCGGATACCCAATTCTAATCAGGAGACAAGGGATAAACCTCTACTCCTGTCCAAAATATCGGAGAGGAGTGTGAACCAGACGTTAAGCAAATCTGTCTACTGCTATTGAGGAGAAAAAATAATTAGTATATAAAATTTCAGATGGGGACATTCAAAGTGTAGAGTTGAAGTAGACATTAGAAGAAACCAGAAACCAAATCCTAAACGGGCAACAAGGGATAAACATCTCAAAGAAGTAGAAAGAAATATCATTAAATATAAAATCCATTCATTCCTTATAAAATACTATATTCAACGCTCTTAAAACCAAATATTGCTGACATATCAAATACCTTTTGTAGGCAATTGCTATCAACACTGCCTACTTTGTATTTTATTATATCTTGTGTTAACTATTTGCTATTTTGCTGTTTTAAAATAAGACGTTATTTTTAAGCCGAGTAAAACTTTCTGAAAACGTGTACTCGTGAATAATAAGGCCTTCTCTTTGTTTTGTCTTTAATTTATGCTAAAAATTGCTCGTATTATACACGAAAAATGCGACAAATACGTTAACTGTAGGAAAGGATGATACACGTTGTTAATTTTTGTAATAGAAACTCTTTACGTAACCTTTGATATGACGCGTATGTTTAAACGCGTTTCCATTGACGAAGTGACGCAGCAAATAATAAAAAGCAAAATGAGAAGTAAACAGATGTTCAGCTGATGAAATCGGTCAACAACCAAAACGCTTGCTCACCAACACTCCGCTATGAGAGATTCAAGTGGAAGTATCTCCAGAGTGGTCCGAAAGTCTTGTCATTCTAACCCTCTTTTCTAAACTGTAGGAGATCGTGTCAGCCATCTGAAATAGAAAATTAGATTATATAGAGGTTGCAAGACTTTCGGGCCGCCCTGTATTTTATTTAGCAAGCATTAGTGTTAATAGATCATCTTCTTCTTCAGGGTGTGCACAATCACGGCTCTCCACAGCTTCCTATCATTTGCAGCTCTCAGTAAGGCTTCTCTTTCCGCCGTAACCTCCCAGTCTCTTTTCTGAATGTTTGGAACGATCGAAAAATGATTTGCAAAATATCAGGTCACTTTTTTGATTAGTTTAACCAACGCTTTTATTCACTGTGCCATGTGGTCCTTATTCAAAAGTGACTTAGCCCAAAGAGTTGCGAGTTCAATACCTGGCCACAGTAGAGGTGAACAAGACATAGGAGAGTTGAGTTACTAAAGGGAATTAGCAGAAACTACGTCTTAGCCGCAGTGACGCCTTGTTTGGGGTGAAATGATTTCAAAATGACTGTATTTTCTTGTACATAATACGTGAAATACTGAACGAAAATTTACGGCAAAAAGGCGTGAGGTGTATTATACACAAGTACATGTTTTCAGAATTTTTTACTCAGCTTAAAAAAAAGCTCTTATTTGAAACAGCAAGATAACAAATACACTTTTGCTTATATTTGGATTTTGTTGGGTTTTTTCCATAAAGATTACTCTCTCTATTCTGAATAAAAGACAAATAACATTTAATCTTCATAGTTTATTAATATATAGCTTGTTTGTTTGTTTTACAGCATATCAACCCATTGGGTTATTTAATTGCGAAATGTTATTCTAAATAAAGCCTTGTATTTAGACACTCATTTTTTTAGCAGCTTATCAATCTCTATGTGGGGGTCTTCTTCTTTGGTCGTGTGCCAGAGCTAGGGTTTCTGTGAATGGTTTCCTCACCTATTCCTCGATATTGTCATTCCATTTTTTCTTCTGTCCTCCCCTCCTTACTCTCCTCCTGCGTCCCACCATGGTCCCTTTCAAGGCCATCGTGCTACGTGGCAATACCATATCAGCCTCCTTTTCTTCACTGTAATGAGGTCTTCCTAGGA